GTTGTCCGCTGTTGACCCACTGCACAGACAGCAACTCTGAAATGCTTGCTCCAGAAACACTGCAGCGTCTCAGGGGCCAGAGATCTGCAGACACCCCCCCCACACCGGACCCAGCTCCACCAGGCATGGGGCCGGCCCGGGGAGGGAGTGGCTCTGGGGGAAGGTGACCTCTCCCGGGGGCCTTACAAGGATCAGCAGCCCCTAGACTTCCCTGTGTCATCCCTTTCTCCAGCCCATGGGTCACCCCCCTGCTCCAGGTCCCAGGGCATCAGGTTCCCTTCCCAGGGCAGGCTATGGGAAGCTCAAAGTGCACCAGGGGCTGTCTACTTCTCCAAAAATACCTCTCTAATCAGCCCTTTCTCGGGACTGAAATTCCCACATCCTTTAACCTATCTGGTCAAAACATCAAAGCTTTTCTGTTAAACTGCCAATAAAGTGACAGAGAAAGCTGCTGTCACAAATAGTTTTGGATAAGTTTTTCCTTGCTGGGTACCAGGCAGAGATAGAAGGAATGGACCAGGGCCAAGAAGGGACCTGGGAGGGACCGGCCGCTGACAGTGTTGGAGGAGGCTGGTGCCCTGCTAATTGGGGAGGACCCGGGGTGGCCACCTGCGGAGGGGAGGCCCAGGCAGCGCTGTGCGCACCCCGGTCTGACCCTGTCTGTCTCTCCCATGGTGGAGATGTGGGCACACAGTTTTGACTGCTTGTGGACTTCTTCCAACACAAACCAGACTTGTCGGTGTCTGCAGGATGCCGTGCCCACTCAGGAAAGGCCCTCTCGGACCAATTCTTGTGGCCCTGATGTCCACGACACTGAGTGCTGTTTCTCCAACGTGAGCAGACAACCAAGCCATCGCTTCCTGAAACATCCCTCAGCTCCTCTTTATGGTGGAAAATAGCGGACTTTTTTTTCCTAAGCTAACCTTTTGGCCTAAGCAGGGAGATTAAAGAATTTAGCCCTAACAATTTGGAGGGTTTTCTGGCTTAAAAAGTAGAAAATACATCTGTAAGCCTGATTTTAAACATCATAATCTTCTTATTACAGGATATTAACAGCATGTAAAATACATACAGCCGGATAACCAAGCGACGTAGCCTCAGCTAACTTTTTTTCCTTTTAGATTGCCGAAAAGATTAAATCCTAAAATGTGGGCATATGGACTTCTTCAATTTGAATTTTAAATTATTCAAATAAAAGCTGCCACCTAGCTCATGAAAAGCAGACATTTGCTGAGCCACTTTTTCATAGTGTAACCATTGAATAACTAAACTATTACCCCTGCAACTTAGTTAATTGGTTTTTACTTCCCCATTCTAATATGTGCACTATATGCATGTGTGTACATAATGCATAATACACATACATTAGTATATACAAAAATACACATACATAGTAATATCTATAAGATATATACTAGATATAGATGTGTATGTAGATATAGGTACAGATATAAATACATATATAGATAAAGATATAAACATATGCACTATTTTAACAAAGTAACTGGTAAATTAGTCACCAGATAATTGGGTATGACCTGTTCAGCCGCATAATTGCTGTCCTATTTTAGTCTTTCCCGCCTATTTTAATGCATGCATTCGCAGAGCCACACAAATAAGCCAATCCATCTTTTATTACCATCGCCACAAATTCTTAATTCCTAATTCCCTCTTAAATGCCCCTGGTGACTTGGCACTGACAGCAATTTGTTTAAGATAGATATTTACTGCTGGGTCCCGTGGCCAGGCCCACATGGCAGGAGCAGAAAGCAAAGACTCATACTTCTTTAGATTGTTTGTGAAGGAGGGCAGACTTGATGAATGATGCATATGTACATGCAAGGCACCGGCCACGGCCAAGGCTGAGGCCGCTGATGAATGGCAAACTCAGTGCCCAGGTGCCCAGCTCTGTGGTTCTCCAGCTGACTGGTGCTGGGGCACCGAACGCTGGCCACCATGTCAGGGTGGTAGGTGCCCCAGCCAACCAATACAGAAAGGATGACTCCTACTTTCTCTTACTAAGCACAAATGGTCCTTATTCATTCCTGCAGGCTGGCCAGAGGAGGCAGTCCCCTGGGAGTCCCAGCCTAGCCCATTCAATCTTAACGTGTTTCTTAAAAGATCTGATTTAACAATTCCTCATGGGGCAAGGGGGCATTTGCCAGCGTGTACTTGGCTGGAAGGCTTCTATGTCTCCAGAATCCTCCAGAGTAGATAAATGAGCAGAGCTCTGTGTCCCCTGGAAGGAAGGGCCAAACTCACTTTACATTCCTGCTTCCCTGGGCTCACTCAAGCCTTTGGGCCGCCCCAGGCCCCACCCAGCCCCAGACGCCCGGCCAGCAGCCCTCAAGTCAGCAGATTGATTTCTGCAAGGTAAAGATGCCAAACTGAACCTTCTTGTAGACAGCCAAAGCCATAACAGTCCAATGATGCCATCATGATTTTAAACGGGATGTTAGTAAATCGACTTTCACGGAGGATGTATCTTTTGAGTATGATTTTGTTTTTTGAAGCAAAACAGAGCATTTTATGAGCAGAGCAACATGAGGCAGAAATTCCTTGACAAAGACACACATTTAAAATTCTTACTACCTATTACCGTCCTTTTGCTTCTTCCTCATAAAACCACCCAACACACTCGTGCACGCAGAATAAGATGGCAGAAAAGTAGTATAAATATCACGGGAGTAGGGAATTTTTTGACATGTTAGTAATTTTTAATAAGACGCCTGTACAGATAGAAACGAATCCATAATGAATGAGACCACGGAGAAATGAGGAGCGGATTCCAAGTTTACCCATAACCTTATAAACGGGCCCCCCTCCCCTTGAAGCTTCTGCCGTACAAGCCGCGTCGGTGCTAAATGAAAGGTGGTCAGCAGCTAAAGGTCCTGCTTCTCTCCAGGCTTCACTGCGCCTCTGAGAGCAAGCATCACCTGCTCCTCCCGCCTGCGTCCTGTCTTCTATTCTTCATTACCCCACAGATGACCTATCTGATAGGCGTCCCCCTCCTGCAGATTCCTGCTGCCAGCCTTCAGCGAGAATAAAGCCGGCAACCCTTTTTATCTTCATTCTACCAATGCTCCCCTCCTCTGTTTTTTTCTAAAGATCGTTTGCCAGCACTGCTTGCTCAGTGGTACCCAGTGGAACAAGCAGTGTCTTCTGTACTGACAATTCTGACTTTTTGCTGCTTGTGATTTTTCTAAAGCATGACAACCACTTGCATGAAGACACGGCAAACCTTTTCAGATAAGGAAGTCGGTAAAAAGAAGGGCCTTTCAAGAAACAGAAGTTGTTACTGCAGGAGCTGAACAAAACCAGTCTCTTACGTATTAATTTAAGTTGGCCCTAACTTTCGCGTGGCAAGAGGAATTAGAATCACGCCACCCATGAGTGTGTGTGTGGTGTGTATGTGTTTTAAAAGAGCGCTTAATCGCGTTGGACAGACATTAAGAAAAGTCATCACACTAGCAACTTCAAACCAGAAGATTTTATCTACTCCATATTTATACACATGCCATATGGTAATTTTTTTGATATTCATTCAGAAGTGGCCTAATTCCAAAGCCAAATGAGTTTCTTTTCAACACAGTTCTCAACAATAGTTCTCCAAAATAGATTAAATCTGAACGTTTTTCCTTCCACAAAACTGCTAAGAAAAGAAATGATCTGTTGAGTCTGGAATTTAACACCATGGTACGTGTAAGTTGAATAAGATTTTCAACTGAGATAATTAAGTGCAATATTATTTCAGAGAAATAGCCGAATACATAAATATTTCAGTCATGTCAGCACAGCCTCATTTCAGAGTAGGATCGGAATGTTCCTGATATGATTAGAGGAATAGTCCACTGCCTGCGAGAGTCAATCACAGCAGACTCCAGCTTTCCCATAATTTAAAATCAGACCAACCAGTGGCCATCAAGTATCTGTGTTTCTCTGGATCCCAGAAAAAATCCCTCACAGCCACTACGACTGATTGAAAACGCTCCGGAAGACAGTGAAAATCACTTAAGAATTTTTTTATTCCTAATTTCTTGTAAATTCACATATTTTTTGCACATTTTACTACAGATTTAGGTATAAATAGTTATTTTATCAAATTCAGATAAGAATTCTAACCACTATTTATTGAGAATTTACGACACATCAGGTGCTCTGTTCCAGTACCTGCCATGTGTTATTTTCCTTAAACCTCACGACAGCCTGGTGAAGTAGGTACAATTATCCACATTTGGGAGAGAAGGAACCCAGGGCTCAGAGAGCTTGTTAATTTGCCCAATGTCACACAGCCAGAAAGTGGCAGAGTACAACCTGGCATCCAGCTGCATCTAGTCAAGGCCAAGGCTCTTGACTTCTCTGCCTGGACATCTCCCACAGTAGAAAATGCAAATGGTCACCAAGTAAGGCGGTAAAAGCTGTTCCCCTCCGTGAATGCCACCTCTTCTGTGAAGCCCTCCAGGTACCTCCAAACAGAAATGCTTTGTAGCTACAGTAGATTGCTGATCATGTGGTACTGGGCCAAGTAATTGTGTGTGGGTCTCTTATCTCCCCTAACTCCTTGAAGGTCAAGATACCTCTTGCTGTCCCTTACACACCAGTGTCTAACAGTCAAATTGTGTTTGTGATTTAATTAAATCAACCTGCGTGTGTCTGAAAAATTTCCCTTAGTCTCTGGTCTTCTTAAATGACCTATGTTCACTAAAAAAAACGAACACCAAAAGATGTTCTATGTATGTTATTAATTTAAAAAGCAGATTATGAGATACTATATACAATAGAAAAATCTCATTTTATTTTGTGTCCAAACACACATTCAACGCACATACACAGAAGAGAAGGTCAGCATGAGACACACCAAAATGGTCACAGGGGTCACAAAGGGATTGGGATTGGTTTTAATTTTTTATCTTTTTTGCATAATCTATATTTTCCAAGTTTCCTCCTGTGAACATATATATTTCTTCTTATCATTTAAAAAAAAAGAGTGGAGAACTTACCTAGTCAGGTGTATTTCCCAGAATCCAAGGACACTCCAGGCAGAAGGGCCGGAACCACGCACTCAAATCTTCAGGCGGGAAATGGAGGGGCCGCAGAGGCGGAACTTGCTCCAAGCCCCGCCTCCTTCCGCCCAGACCTGAAGGTGACTCACCGTCTCTCCCGCACGGAGCCCAGCTAAGACGCAAGCACACGCATCGTTCTGTCCACCCTCCCCGCCTCCCCGCCAGGGAGACTCCTGGGTGCGTGGAGCAGGTTGTAGGACGAGGCCAGGGCCCTCCCTCCAAGATGAACCATCCCAGAGGCTCCCGATCCTGCCCAGCCTCCTCTCAGTTCCAAAACTGGGGCTGGGGGGCCGAGGACCAGCCCGGGATCGGGGTGCCTGCCGTGAGGCGATAGCTGGGGAGGGTGTGGGGAGCACGCGAGGGCATCACTGCACCCGGCGGAGACAGATGGAAGGCCAAGGTCGAGAGAGGTCACAAAACACATCCCTGAAGTTAGAAATCCAGGTGAACCCAAGTCAGCAAAGAGAGGGGCCTAGCTACTGTCTAGAAATGCCTGGAAGTGACCAGGGCTACCATTCCAGAATTTCTTAAATAGTTGGTACTTGTCTTATAGTCAGTCTGAGTCCTAGAGCAGAGCTGTGTGCATTGAGAGAGTGCGGGATCACCTTTCCTCCACTCAGTTCCACCCGTCCACCTGCCAGCGGGTGAAGCTCAAAGCCAAATGCCAACCACAGGGGCACAGCCAGCTGAGCCTGGTGCCCGGAGCCAACATGACTGACCCGCCAGGATAATGTCCCCATCCTCAGCCCAAGGACGTGTAAAACCACCCTGTGCCGCCCTACGGGGACATAGAAGGTGCAGAACACAGCCACTTTGCCATCTTGGGTCAGTGTCAGCTGCAGCCATTCACACGAGCAATTACAACATAGATTTCAGCTTAAAATTCACAGAAAAAAGTGCTCATCTTGGAGGCAGTACCATATGTGAACTCTCTGTACTTGCCGCTCAAGTTTGCTGTGAAGCTAAAACTGCTCCAAAAAAGAAAGTCTATTAAAAAAAAGCTCATTCTAGCCGCACCACGCTCCTCAAGTCCTGCCTGACCGCTCAGTCCACCCTTCAGATGCTCCTTCTGCTTCTCTTCACCTCAGGTCCTCCCTGTCTCCATCTCCCCTTCCCCCTCCGTGTGCACACATGTCCCTGTGTGCGTGTGCACATTCACATGTGCCCATATCTGCATGGTGTGTGTGCAGCTGTGTGGGTGTGCACACACATGCATTCATGTGCCGCCTCATCCTCCGCTCTCTTGCTCTTCCTCATGTTCCCTCACTACAACGGACTCAGCTCCCCAACTGTGACTCAGAGCCCCCCCTCACTCTTCCCTGGAGAGGGGACGGGTGTCTGCTCTGAGAGCCCTCCTCACCTGCAGTCGGATCATGGGGGGAAGCTCAGAGTCCTTAGGAACGGTACAGGGCACTAATACTCCTTGTAAAACAAAAATTGACAGCCTGGTCTCGGGGCGGCAGTGGCCCTCTGCTGGCCCTCTGGGGGCCACCTTCCACCTCCGCAGGGCCAGGCAGGGGAACAGAGGAGAAAGAGGCAGCACCTTGAAATCCCGCACAACCATGGAGTCCAAAACATCGTCAACGAATTTAAGTCTCTAGGGAAAAACATACCCCTGGTCTGAAATAAATAAATGCATGAATGCATGAATACCTGAATGAATGAATGCATGCATGAATGAATGAATGAATAAATAAGGCTAAATTCTCCTAAACCAGAAAACAAGAGGATTTCCATGAATGGTTCCCTCTCAGGCACTTTGCTGAGCCCCGCGTCTGTCCCGGGCACGGGGAGGACACCTGCCGGAGCTGGAACCTCTGCAGCCCTCTCCTCAGGTGTGCACCACGCAGAGTAGGGGCACGAAGGGAACTTGGCTAATTTACTTCCTCGAAAGGTGTTATTTTTCCACTTTAGCTTTTTAATCCCACAAACCAGACCAACTATGATTTTAGGTGGAATGAGAGGGAAGCAGAGGAATGGGAGAGAGAACCTGTCCGAAGATACCCCTGTGCTTTGTACCAGATTTCCTGGTTCGATGCCAGCTTCCTCCTTACTATGTCACCATGGTAAGTCACCTCACCTCTCTGTGCCTCATTTCCTCATCTGTAAAGTGGGGTCAATAATGTCCCCCACATGGGGGTGTGTGACGGATCAATGAGCTCACGCAGGTAAGGTCCTTGGAATGATACCTGGCATTGAGCACTCAATAACTGTTAGCCATGAAAGTTAAAATTTTAGGGTTAACAGGCTTAACTTTAATTTTTAGAATCATAAACGAGAGTTTCCAAAGCCAGAGATGTTGCTCAGATCACAGCACCAGTAGTAACTTAGTCTGGACACACAAGCGATCAAATGATAAGTTGGGGTTTCCAGCAAATTAATTGATCAGGATGGTGCTGGGTCCCAGTTGGTTTCCTGGGCAGAAAGGAGCCGGTTACCCTGAAGCCAGCCTGAGGGTGTGGGGTCTGCAGTATCCCCAGGCAGCACAGCTGGGCAAGCCCTTGACTCCCGTGCCCTCCCAGGACAGCACTCCTTCTTCTGACAGGCTTTTTCTGTCTAGTTCAACCTTCAGATCAATTTAAAGACGGTGGGGAAATGTCTCCACCCCAACGTTCGTTCTGCAAGCCTGTGAACCACCTCCACTGTGTGCGGGAAGGCCCAGGCCACACCACACCCACAAGCCCCAGCTGCCTTGGCCCGGCTGTCTGACATATGCCACAGCTTCACGAACAGTAACACAACTTCGCAACGAACGTGTGAGCTTGCTTGGCCGTCAGGAGTGACAGGCAGGCCCTCTGCCACTTTCCCAAGACCCTTCCAAGCCACTCATGGAATGAAAGTAATTAGAGCGCCAGCCCCCTGACCCCAGCTGATCCCAGAGCCCTGCCTTTGCAGAGGCAGGAGGACAAAGGGTGAAATCAGAGGCTCCCTGGGGCCTCATCAATGAGCCAACGGAGCCAAAAGGCAGGCTCCAAATCCGCCTTAGCCCCTCACCTCCAGCCCTGTCCCCCTACGCCTCCTCCGGCAGCTCTGGGGGCCGGGCCTGGTGTTCCCGCCACCCCCTGACCCCAGGGACTCTCCCAGGCAGACTGCGTACTGCGTTGTTTCTGTGGCTCCTCTACCAGGAAGAAGCAGGACCGAGGTTGGTCTCCTTTGGCCCAGTGACAACTGATGGTCCCAGGGACCTGACATTTACTATGCTGGGCATGCTATTTTAAAAAAGTTTCCATTTTGTCTCTTCCACCTTCCAAACCAGTTTCAGAGTTCTTAGTAAATCTTCTTCACCAAGCTTTAATATTTGTAGTATCTAGGAACAGTTTTCTCATTTTCAAGACCTACATTACATCATACCCATGACTTCTGCCTAAAATATGTGTGTCTGATAAGACAAAAACAGAATTCATCAAGGCGCAGTGCCCACCCAGTGAGCAGACGCGTTATCTCCCAGCCCTGGCACCACGGAAGCACATTCCTGTAGGTGGTCACTCTCCTCTCTTGTACCTCCTCCAACCGATCAGTTGCATGTCCCATAGGTTCTTTCTCCAAAATTTTCCTTGAACCACCGGCTCCTCCCCGTTCCCATAACTGCCCCACCCCGAGCACTTGTCATTTCCTTGATCACTGCCATCTCCACCAGATCATCTCATGGGTCCTCAGAAATCTCCCTCCACCCATGTCCACATGAGCTAAGGCAAACCACACACCCTGGGCTACATGCCTCAGCCTGGAGGCCTCTGCAGCTTTCCTGTCATCAGTCTATGGGTAGCATCCCAACTCTTCTGTATGGCATTGAAAGGCCTTCTCGCTCTGGTGGCAACCACCTTTCCAGCCTCGTCCCCCGCCACTCCCCATGCCCAGCCACCCTAAACTAGAGCCACGTGAGGCGACTGTGTGATGCTGTCTCCCCTCACTGCCTGGAGAGCCCCACCTCCTCTGCCTCTGGTGGACTGTTCCATTGGTGGCCCTCAATGAACTATGCCTCCCAGGATTCCTGCCATTTTGTAGTATCCTCTCACGTGGACTCTGGGCTTGGTTATGTGAGTTGCTTGGGGCAATAGGACATTAGGAAGAGCAATACAAGCCAAGGCTTGATGAGCACTTGTGCACCAGAGTCTTCCTGCAACCCTTCCTGAGGCCCTCTGCCATGTAAGGAGGTCCAGCCACTCTGCTGGAGAGACCACAAAGACAGACCATGAAGAGCCATGTGGAAAGAAGAGTCTCAAACCTACATGAAGAATATATAATAATATAAGAGGGGCAGCCGTGCCAGGGTCCCGGTTGAGCCTCCAGATGATCCCATTCCCAGCTGTGAACTGACTGCATCTGCATGAGACCCAACGTGAGACCGGGAGAACTGCCCAGCTGAACGCAGTCAACCAAGAGAACACGAGAAATAATGAAGCATCACTGTCAGCTGCTGAGCCCTGGGTTGCCGCGATGTGCAGCGGCAGGTAACTAACACAGCCCGTTATCACTCAATTCAGCTTAAAATTCAAGGAGCACTTGCAACCCTAATATGTGTATTCTCTGCTTCCTGGTATGATAAAGGGTTGGGCATGGGTATGATAAAGAGAGCACAGGCCACTTCTTCGAGGACATTGCAGCCCAGTTGGATACTCTCATTCACGCAGTCTTCCAGAAAACATTATTTTGAGCACCTACTATGGATGAGACACGGCAAGGTCTCCTGCCTGCATTCACCTTGGCTCCCACTGCACCAGTTGTTTTCCATTCACACTTAACCTCAAGGGCTGGAATCAGCTGCTCCTCTCAGAATGAATGCACCCCAAGTGCTCCCCAAAGGCCCAGAGCTTGAAACTCTCAGGGAAGATGGTGTGGGAGCCGAGGGAGCATCAGTCCCTTAGGAGAGATGGCTCCATCAGCGGTAGATCTCCCCCCAATCTTCTGGGTCAGAAAGGGAAGGTACTCCTGCTTGTTATTCATAGATCCATCTATTCTTTCAGATTCCTAAGATGTGGAGTCCAGAAAGACAATCTCACTCCAGAGGCTAAGCAG